GCATTTAATTATGAATACAACCTACAGAACCCTATAAAAAGTAGTGATAATTACACATTATCAAAAAATAAAAAGAACACCTATTATTAGACACAAATAATATTTTGACATCTGACTTGCCAAATTTTTAAACCAATTTTATTTCCACTTTTATCATTTTATCTTCAACTGCTTGTGGTTTTAACTGTCTTGAGTGTTTGTAGAAGTGGTTTTTACCAGCTTCTAGCCAGGATTCCAACATTTCTGCAGTTCTATGTTTAACTAAAAGAACTTAAGAGTAATTAAAGTAGAAAACCGGGGGTTTGGGCTCAAGAGATGAATAAACCAATTGGCRGGCCGAACTTTGGTCACTCGCGGGCCAGATGWGGCCCATGGGCTGCCAGTTGAATAGCCCTGAGGTAAGATATTGTTCAGAATCTCACAGAACACCACTGAATTATCACATTAGGCAGCAAAAATTGGAAGTATTCACCAACCTTGTTTACCTTTTCTGCAGCTAAACACTATTAATGTTTTCGGTTGTGTCTGTCTGTCTGTCTGTCTGTCTGTCTGTCGACAAAATTACTCAAGAACCTGTGGACAGATAGCCTGGCCCTTGCCTTCCTATGCACCTCCACTCTATTTTAGTTTCCCTTCACTGCTCCGTCTGGGACTTCTCCCACTGAGATGGATTTCACTGGCAGATTTTTAGCCGGGCCAATCAGAGAACAGAACGTCAATTTTCTGTGCAGTGTCTGCTTGTAGTTTATTTTACCTGGGCCAATCAGCAAACAGAAGGTGGAGTTTTGAACGACGTCGATGTTCTGCAGTGTCTGCTAGTTATTTTAGCATACGGCAGTGGAGGAAGTGAATGAAGCCAGTCCGTGTTGATAAGTCTTCCAAATTAAAATAAATTTGTCTGACAAAGCAGCAGCTCTCATTTACAGTCGTCTCGTTCGGCTCGGTATATTTCTCCTCTCAGTAGGGTTGTTTACAGCACACGCGATTTCGGGTTAGCTTCTTAGCTTAGCCTCCTTCACACCAACAACACACATATGCTTCAGCAGAGGCCACGCCTCCTGCAAGAAATCGATTCTCTATGCAGCAAGTCCAGACCATTGTATGAAGCAAAGTGAAGGACAGGGTCTGGTTTGAACCAGGCTAGTGGATGGATTGTCATGGCATTTTTACCACATGTGGGGATTAGCCAAAGTAACACGCCTGTAAATTTTGGTCAGGTTCTGGATCATGATGCGGATACAGGAATTGTTTTATTTCTTTTAACCCTCTGAGCTCGAAAGCTGTGATGCATTGACAGGGCTTCAGTAAAAAACAGTGACAGCTTTCAGTGTTCATTTGAACTGGATTGAACAGCAATTTTATTTACTTCCAAATAAAACCAGATTTAATGATGAATAATTTTTGCCATAATGTGCGCATATTTACGCATTTGGTGCACATTAACAGAACGTTGTGCGACAAGGAAGTGTGTGACTGCACCATGAAACCCATTTTTCCCATTTCCTCAAACACACAACATTTCACAAACAACCAATCAAAACAGTTTCTCTGTACTAGGCTTGCAGAGAGCTTCTGGACGGGCCTCAAAGTCTGGACACGGGAGGAGAACAGATTCATTTCGGCATTTTGGAAGCTAGCGGGTTAGCTTTTAGACCAGACAGTGTGTGAGTGTGTGTGCCAAGGGGGAGGAGGTAATGTTTTAATGCTGAAAGCACTCACACACTGTATTTTGCTTCTCGCTTCAAAATAAATAAATAAATAAATAAATAAAT